CTGACCCTCCCCACTCTCTCACCCCACCCGACCCTTCCCCCCTCTCTCACCCCACCGGACCCTCCCCCACTCTCTCACCCCACCCGACCCTCCCCCCTCTCTCTCACCCCACCCGACCCTCCCCCCCTCTCCCTCCCCACCCGACCCTCCCCCCCTCTCTCACCCCACCCGACCCTCCCCCCTCTCTCACCCCACCCAACCCTCCCCCCCTCTCTCACCCCACCCGACTCCCCCACAATCCCCCTACCCATCCCCTCTCACCTCACCCGTCCATATTTACGATAAGCAGACGAGCAAAACCAGTGGTGTGCCAAGGTGGTAGAGTGGATAGAGTGAAGGACAGAGGGAAGGTGGTGGGTGGTGTGGCGGCCAGGTCACACCCCCAGGCGTCACCGGCGCCACACCCCCAGGCGTCACCGGCGCCACACCCCCAGGCGTCACCGGCGCCACACCCCCCAGGCGTCACCGGCGCCACACCCCCAGGCGTCACCGGCGCCACACCCCCAGGCGTCACCGGCGCCACACCCCCAGGCGTCACCGGCGCCACACCCCCAGGCGTCACCGGCGCCACACCCCCAGGCGTCACCGGCGCCACACCCCCAGGCGTCACCGGCGCCACACCCCCAGGCGTCACCGGCGCCACACCCCCAGGCGTCACCGGCGCCACACCCCCAGGCGTCACCGGCGCCACACCCTCCACACGGACATCAGGTACACAATGACAGATCAAATCCTTCAGTAATGTGGTCGAGAGATGTGGAGAGAGAGGTCACGCCGAGCCTGTCCACTGAGGCCCACCTGGAAAGGTTATCATCAGCGGCGGCGGCATTTACCAAGATGGCCAACATAAGAACTGCCTTTAGAATTTGTGAAAGGAATCAATCGGAACCTTGTATAGCACATACGTCAGACCGGTCCTGGAGTATGCAGCTCCAGCATAGAGTCCATATATAGTTATGTAGAAGATGAAGTTTGAAAAACTTCAGAGTTATGCGAGCAGACAAGTAGCGGAACTGACAGATGTGTTATGAAAGGCCACAGGAATTATATCTCACGTCGCTGGATGACAGGAGTTGAGGAGACATGATTACCACATTAAAGTCTCAGAGGAATTGATTGGGTCGATAAAGCTTCATTATTTAGCAGGGGCGATACACAAACACGGGGACACGCGTAGACATCAAGTACACATAATCAAAGAATCAGTAAGAAAGATTGAACAATTATGTTTAGACTCTCAAACCCGTTTCTAAATACTGAGCGTGTCGCACTTCCTTAACCGAGAACACTGCCGTATCATAACACTCGTCACTTGATAACTCTCCAGCATTCCCTTGTACTTCACATCCAAGTTTAGGTTCCGCGACTCGCCAGAAAACATTTCGCGACCTTGGGACCGCGAAATGTTTGGGAACCACTGCACTAGGAAGTGATGCGTTGGAGGCAGCCCAATACGCTCAGGAACCCGTACAACAGTTGGTTGACAGTTGAGAGGCGGGACCAAATGGCCAAAGCTCAACCCCCGCAAGCACAACTAGGTGAGTACACCCCACCCCCCCCCCCGGATGACCACTAACCTGAACGAGGATGATACAAACAGAAGAGGTAAACAAGAGCGCCTGGCCAGGTCCTCCCGGGTCCTGGCCAGGTCCTCCCGGGGTCCTGGCCAGGTCCTCCCGGGGTCCTTGCCAGGTCCTCCCGGGGTCCTGGCCAGTCCTCCCGGGGTCCTGGCCAGGTCCTCCCGTGGTCCTGGCCAGGTCCTCCCGGGTCCTGGCCAGGTCCTCCCGGGTCCTGGCCAGGTCCTCCCGGGTCCTGGCCAGGTCCTCCCGGGGTCCTGCCAGAGTGCTCAGTAAGGGACATCGTGTACAAATTGCGCCACCATAACGCCAGCTAGTTAAAGGGGGGGTGAGGACGGGGTCTTACTGGGGGAAGGGAGGTGGGGGTCTTACTGTGGGTGGGGGGAGACGGGTGTGACGCTCCGCCCAC